GCTAGACTACGGGGTTGGCACGAACTACTAGAGGTGATCGTAGCTTTGCTTGGTTCCTTAGTGCTTGCACATTCACAGGAGAAATCGGCAAGAGTTTTACTAGCAAAGTTGGAATTCCAGAATGATTAAAGCAAGCAATGACAAGAATGACTATATCAGACACCTAGCAACCCTGCTGCTAGCCTGGTCGACCGCCAGCACAGCTCAGACGATCGCCTGCCAGAGTTGCGTAGAGGAGCCGCGCCAGCACTGCAAAAAGGTGACCTGCCAACGAGGCAGGTCGACGGCGTGCCAACGCTGCAGCAGAGCGGCTGTCCAGCATTGCCCCGTAGAACATAGCAGTGTGCACGCTCGCACGTGTGCGCAGACGATTGGCCCGACTTGCCTCGTTGGGCATTCGTCGGCAGTTGTCTGCGCCTAATGAGCCACATTGACTACAGGATACCAACCCACAGTCGCCTGCGACATCGCAACCTCGAGGACGTTCGCGTGCCTCCGCAGAACTCGTCGAGCAGGTTACCCGGTCGACCACCAGGTGCTTCCGGTCGACCACCAGGTCCCTCTGGTCGACCACAACTCCCGTCGAGCTACCCCATGGTCGACGGACCCCTTCCGCCAACCAGAACCATCACCGGTTGTCGCCGAGCTCCCCTCGTCGACCGCTGCTCACTTGTCAGGTCGACGGACTGCTCCGTCGACCTCCCGGTCGAACTACAGGTCCTAGTCAACGTCCCACCCGTTGCCCAGACCAGTCAGTTGCAGCTGTCGAGCTCCCTGGTCGACATCAACACCACAGCAGCTCGACGAAGCCTGTCGAGCAGCTCTCCCACTGTGAACGGTTGGTTGCTACTCTCATGCACCCGACCAAGTCGTCGGCGTTGCCCAAGCGAGGGCGGGGCCAACACTCAATTTCTGTTAACATCCCGGCTACTGTTGTCACAGACCCTTCTTTTGAGTCCACTGCTGCGTCTGCCTTAGTTGCTGAGCTTGTCGACTTTGCTGCTCGTTGTCGTCTAGACTATGCTGCTAGTCTTGTTGCTGAGTCTGAGTCTATCTGTCCTCCGTCCGTCGGGGGTGAGTGTGCTCTTAGCACGGACGTCCTTGAGGACAGGCAGGAGGAGTTCTAGTGTTTTGCTGCTGCTTTGCCTCATCTCGTGTCCACGCTGATTGCCCCTGAGGGAGACCCGGATGCACCAGACATCCCGACTCCTCGATTGTACGCTGAGGCGATCGAGGGTCCCTACTCCTCACAGTGGCAGTGAGCCATGGACGCAGAGATGGCTTCCTGGAAGTCCACAGGCACCTACGTCGACGAGGTTCCCCCACCTGGGGCGAACATCGTCAGTGGCATGTGGATTTCCAGGGTGAAGCGACCGCCGGGTTCTCCGCCTATCTTCAAGGCGCGTTACGTGGCTCGAGGCTTCAGTTAGCGGCAGGGAGTTGACTACTTTCAGACCTTCTCTCCCACCCCGAAGATGACCACTCTTCGGGTGCTGCTGCACATAGCCGCTCAGCGCGACTACGAGCTTCACTCTCTTGACTTCAGCACTGCTTTCCTGCAGGGCAGCCTGCACAAGGAGATCTGGCTGCGCCGCCCACCTGGCTTCACTGGGTCGTTTCCTCCTGGTACCCAGTGGAGCCTCCGGCGGCCAGTCTACGGTCTCCGCCAGGCGCCCCGTGAGTGGCACGACACACTGAGGACTACACTTGCGGCTCTTGGGTTTGCTCCGTCTACTGCCGACCCGTCGCTATTTATGCGCACCGACACCTCCTTGCCGCCGTTCTACATCCTCGTGTACGTGGACGACTTGGTCTTTGCCACTGCTGACACTGCTGGACTCGCCCACGTAAAGTCCTAGCTGCAGAAGAGACACACGTGCACAGACCTGGGTGAACTGCGCAGCTAACTTGGCTTGCAGATCACCCGGGACAGAGCACAGCGCACCATTACCCTAACTCAGTCACATATGGTGCAGCAGGTCGTTCAGCGCTTCGACTTCACGTACTCCTCGCCTCAGGCCACTCCTCTGTCTACTCGCCACTCGCTCTCAGCTCTGCCTTCGGATGAGTCCGTAGAGCCGAGTGGCCCGTATCCAGAGCTTATTGGCTGCCTCATGTACCTGATGACCTGCACACGACCTGACCTAGCATACCCTCTTAGCATCTTGGCACGTTATGTTGCTCCTGGGAGACACCGTCTGTCAGAGGTCCACTGGTGATCCCCGATTGATCCTAGGGAAGGGTTAGAGGCACGTTGGCCTGGGGGGTTATGGGCGCACTAACCCGCTACTTAACAAGCCCTTTTATCCCAATGGTCTAGTGGTTGGGATTCTGACATGGTATCAGAGCGAAGGTCTTGGGTTCGAAGTATGCACTTCGAGCATCCCAGTGCGGGGGGGTGTCAGCGGTCCACTGGTGATCTCCGATTGATCCTAGGGAAGGGTTACAGACATGTTGGCCTGGGGGGTTATTAGCGCACTGACCCGCTACTTAACAAGACCTTTTATCCCAATGGTCTAATGGTTGGGATTCTGACACCGACTTGAGCACATGGCTGCAGCGAAGAGGGTGTTGCGCTACTTGTGCAGTACGTCGGGCATGGGGCTAGTGCTTGGAGGGCGACGTCCAGTGGTCCTCACAGGTCACGCAGACGCTTCTTGGGCTGACAACCAGGCTACACAGCGGTCGTCACAGGGTTACACCTTCAGCCTTGGCTCCGGCTCTGTTTCGTGGCGGTCTACCCGCTCGTCTTCTGTTCTCGGCTCCAGTTGTGAGGCTGAGATCTACGCGGGGGCCATGGCTGCACGGGAGCTACGCTGGCTCACCTACCTGCTGACTGACCTAGGAGAGCCGCCTCGTTTTCCTCCAGTGCTGTACGTAGACAACAAGGCCATGCTGGCCTTGTGTTTGGAGCACAGACTGGAGCACAGAACGAAGCACATTGCTCTTCGCTACTTCCTTGCTCGTGAGCTGCAGCAGCGTGGTCAGTTGCGCCTTGCTTACGTGGCCTCTGAGGCCAACACTGCTGATATCTTTACGAAGGCACTTCCGCCTTGTGATCATCAGCCCTTTTGTACGATGCTAGGTCTTGTGCCTACTTGGCTTCACTTGCTCACTTCTTGACCTTGCTTGTACTGTGATCTTTCTATACCTGCACTAGCTTGTTTACATTTATATATGATCTTGCATGTGAACTGGCCTTGTGGCCTTGCTCTTGTGCTCGGACTGAGTGGTGACGTTGTGATCCACCCTGAGCTTTGCTTTGTTTTGCTTGACTGGTCTTGTGACCTCTTGTTCTCCCCCATTTTGCCTATGGGGGTGTGTCAAACTCATATGCTATAGTCTGTGTAGGCTGTAGTGGGGTAGACAATATGGGGTACAACACTTTTAGGTTTTCCTACTTGTACCCACCTGCTTGGTAGTTCATTCATTCGTTGTTCTTTCACACACATTAGTCTAGACTCTAGTGTACAAGTAGAGAGGCTGAGCTTGTGACCGATTCCTTCTCCTCAGCTCCGGCTCGGAGGCAAAGGCTTCGATTTGAGTCCCTCGACGGCGTCAGCGTGGCGTGACCTGGGCGATGTGATGCGAGGGACAAGCGTTCTCAGCCAGCCGCCCAGTCGAAAATGGAGAGACTCGTGCGTCTCAAGGACGCAACGCAAGGCGCAAAACTGGATGTGGGCATTCACCTCCGACACAGCACAACTCGTTAAAGTTTGAAGTATAGAGCGCAAATTAGCAGGGCTTAGGAAATTCAGTATCAAGGTTTGTAGTTCCCTTGTTAGGCCGCTTTACCGCTAAGCTTTGGCCACTACATGATATTTCCCCTTCTAAGTTTGTGAGCGAATCTCGCTAATGTTTGACGAAGCGGGTTGTGTCGCAGAATGTATGTAACCTCTTCGCTGGCGCTTGTGATGTGTGGGGTGAAATTGGTTGGATATTGTGTGGCCAGATGACGGTGGTTTGAACGTCGGTTACCAAACCAAACCCTCAACACAAGCGACAAGGCCCTTGTCAGAGCCAGAAGCTGTTGGCTGATTTGAGGGCCCGAACCAGCTGGTGTTGGCTTGGATGAACCATGCGGGACACTCAAATTTCCTTGGCCCCTCCATAACTCACGCCGTGGTATTGCCAGACCAGCACTAGCTTCTTTAATTGGTTGGAGTTTCCAGGCCTGCCAAAGTTGACCCAAGAAAGACAGGCTGGGCCATTATTCAACGGCCTGCCAGCTGGTGGCTGTCGCTTTCCGCTTTCCTGGGGTTCAGGCCACCAAGTACCCGATCGCGGCAACATTGAAAAGCTTGCAAACTGCTCGTCCAGAGTACACTTCAGTGGCGTGGCCACCACCTTGTTCCGAGTTTTCCGTACAGAAAACTGGTGGCTTAACTTCCTTGTTTTTGCGCAAAGTGTTTTCTTTAGACGAAGACCACATATGTAAGCACGAATCTCGGTTATGAGGTTCTGGCTATTACCAAAAGTTAGGGCATCGGACGTTTAGCCCTGTGAACAGAACTCTCAAGTTACGCGAACCTGAGGGGATGAGTGCTCAACAATGCACAAGAACCAAAACAAGAGCCTTCTTTGGTTTGGTTTGGTCCCTTCCAGCCATTTTGTGCAAGTATGTTAGGCAGTTGCTCTGAGTAAGCAGAGCGCTAGTCTAGCTCGGTTCGCAGTTAGTTCAGTAGCACGATACGAGTGCATGATCGTAGTGCCGTCGCAATGACGACAGAGCTGCCATAGCTGCTTTTGCTGTCACTGACGATCCGCCATTGCTGTGATTGCTTGTACTGAAGTAGACTGCAATCGCACAGCCAGAGGTGTTGTGATAAGACTCTTAGGTCATCGGGTGATTTACTAGAGCGACGCGGCTTTCGTTAGGGCTGAAGTCCTGCATTACCCTTCTGTCCCCATTAGACGACGTTATCTCGTAATGCTAACATATCAACGAGTAGCCTAGTCATAAAAACCTCCTAATTTGACTTCCTAATGCGACTGCGACCATGGGCCTTCTCTCACTCGGAAGAAAAAGGCCTCCGACGGGGAAAAAGGTCGATGATGACGTGTCAGATACCGATTCGGTATCAGCCCCAAGCCTCGCCACGACAGGCCCCGGTAGTTCCTCTCGCGACTCCTCCCCAGCCAAACCGTCCGCCGCGTCCGGAGACGCCAGCCGGACGGGAGTTAAGGACGTGCCTCGCCGGCCGGGTTCCGCCGCGGCGAAAGAAGCGCCTCACACAGTGAACATCCTTAAAAAGACGTACGAGAACGTGCAATACTTCTACGTCATGGGGAAGGAGTTAGGTCGCGGGCAATACGGCGTGATCCGGCTGTGCACGGAGAAAGCGACGGGGTTGTCGCTGGCGTGTAAGAGCATTAATAAGGCGAAGCTGGCGGGGACGCGGGAGGTGGAGGATGTGCAGAGGGAGGTGAAGGTGATGGAGCTGCTTAAGGGCCACCCCGCCGTGATCGAGCTGCGCGCGACTTACGAAGACCAGAAGGTACGACAATAGACACGCGAGCGAATAATGCGTTTGCGTCAAACGAGTACATCTAGAGAGCTGTGAGCGAGCTTCGCTCGACGGATAGCGAATAATAGGTCTGCGAGCGAGTTCGTTACGGAAGCTTCTTGAACGCCGTTTAGCGGTTATTCAGCTCCCTGCGACGTTTCGACATCAAAAGGTGGGGTTCTGAGACTAAGCGTTTGTGTGATGAATGTCAGAAAAGTTAACAGGAGGGTGGTGGTGTTAAATGGGGTTGTTTCCCCCTTCGTTTTCCCCGCTCAGCTTTTAAGGAGCTCACAACAAATTAAGGTTCGCCCTTCGTTTCGCCGCCCTCACCGCTTCACTCGTTCTCTATTTTGACCTTTTCCGCTTTCTCGTTTCTGTGTCTCGTTTTCGTCTCAGCGTGTGCACTTGATCATGGAGCTGTGCGAAGGCGGCGAACTCTTTGAGCGAATAAGCAAGCGAAAGCATTACCCGGAGAACGAGGCGGCGGAGGTTTGTCGCACGCTCGTATCGGTCGTTGCGCACTGCCAGTCGCACGGGCTCATGCATCGCGATCTCAAGCCCGAAAACATTCTGCTCGTCAGCCAATCGTCGCACACGCGAGTCAAAGTCGTCGACTACGGCCTCGCGGTTTTCGTCAAACCAGGTGAGAAGCGTTTTCGTTAGCTCGAGTTACACGTTATCGAGCAAAGTGGAATTTCGCGAAACACTACCAAGGCCGATCGTCTGGCAAACGTCGCGGGACGTGATTCAGCGTCGTCACTTATCGAACATATAATCTTGACGGTTGTATATGAAGCACAGCACACGTGGCCAGTCTCGAATCGGCCTAACTTCTAACCCATACGATTTTTGAAACATGTTGATTTCTGGAACATAGTAGGTATTGGATCACTTACTAGACACTAATGCTGGCCTGAAGAACTACTACGGGCTCGATGGGAAATGTGGAGCGTCCTCTACATCCTGCTGTGCTACCTGCCCTCTCTACCTCCTTCTCACCCCTTTCCACCCCTTTCCACCCCTTTCCACCCATTTCCACAACTTTCCATCGCTTTCCACAGCCTCCCACCGATTTTTACCGATTTCCACCATTTCCCACAACTTCTCACCCTCCTTCACCGCTCTCCACTCCCCTGTAACAGGCGCGAAGCTGACGACAATGGCGGGCAGCGCGTACTACATAGCGCCGGAGGTTCTAAACAACTGCTACGGGCTGGAGGCGGACATGTGGAGCGTGGGGGTGATTCTCTACATCTTGCTGTGCCCCCTGCCCTCTCCACCTCCTCAACCTTTTTGCACCACTTTCCACCCCTTTCCACCGCTTTCCACCACCTCCCACCCCTTCCCACCACTTCCCACCTTCCTTCACCCCTCTCCACTCCCCGGTACCAGGTGCAAAACTCACCACAATGGCGGGCAGCGCGTACTACATAGCGCCAGAGGTGCTGAACAACTGTTACGGGCTGGAGGCGGACATGTGGAGCGTGGGGGTGATCCTCTACATCCTGCTGTGCGGCCTGCCGCCCTTCTGGGCGGAGAAGGAGGAGGGCATCTTCGCGGCCATCAAGACGGGCAAGATCGACGTGTTCACGGGCGTGTGGGAGGGCGTGTCGCAGGACGCAAAGGACTTGGTGATCAAGCTTCTCACGAGGGATCCTTCGAAGAGAATTACGCCAGAAAAGGCATTGGGTGAGCGGAGGGTGGGGGTGAGATGGTATGGTAGGGAAGGGATGCCTTGAACTGGATGGAGGGATGGGAGGCGAATGAGCGCCGTTCTGGGCGGAGAAGGAGGAGGGCATCTTCGCGGCCATCAAGACGGGCAAGATCGACGTGTTCACGGGCGTGTGGGAGGACGTGTCGCAGGATGCAAAGGATTTGGTGATTAAGCTGTTGACCAGGGACCCTTCGAAGCGTATCACTCCTGAAAAGGCTCTGGGTGAGTGGGTGAAAGGGTAGGGGACGGGCAAGATTGACGTGTTCACAGGCGTTTGGGAGGGCGTGTGGGAGGGCGTGTGGGAGGGCATGTCGCAGGACGCCAAAGACCTCGTGATTAAGCTCCTTACCCGGGATCCGTCCAAGCGGATCACACCAGACAAGGCATTGGGTGAGTGGAGGGTGGTGGTGGGATGGGTTATAGGAGATGCGGAATCACTACCTGAAGTGGATGCAGGGCGTGTGGGAGGGTGTGAGGGAGGGAGGGTGTGTGTGTGGGAGGGAGGGCGTGTGGGAGGGAGAGTGTGTGGAAGGGAGGGTGTTTGGGAGAGTGTGTGGGAAGGCGGGCGTGTGGGAGGGCGTTGACTCAAGAAATTCTCTTCCCCCTCTCCACCTGTCCTCCCCATGTCATTGTGCCCTTCCCCCCTGTCCAATCCACCATTGTCTGAAGCAGCTTGCAGGCGCAACTCGCCTCCTTACCTCCACCTCCCTCTCTCAATTTCATCTTTAGGTCCACTAAAGAATACACTCTTTCCTTCCCCCCCCCCCTTCTCCTCTTCCTCCCCTTCCCTCCCCCTCCCTTCCCTCCCCCCTCTCCCCCCTCTCCCCCTCTCCTTCTCCTTCCCCGTCCCCTTCCCTTGTCCAGCCCACCGCTGGTGGAAGCAGCACGCGGGGGCAGCTCGTTTCCCCTCCTCCTCCCTCCTCTCTGGGATCCAACTTTGAGTCAACTGAAGATAAAACTCCTGTATTCCCCTCCTCTCCTCTTCCCCTCCTCTACCCCCCCTCCCCCCCTCTCTCCCCCCTGTGCAGCCCACCGCTGGTTGAAGCAGCACGCGGGCGCAACCCGCTTCCCCTCCTCCGCCTCCCTCTCCGGAATCCCCCCCAAGCCCGCCACTGCTGACGTCATGGGCGCGTTCAGGCGCGACAGCAGCGTCAGCAGCAGCACAGGGGGGAGCGCGCGCCCCAGCTCCAGCAGCGGGGCGGGCGCAGGGGGAGGGGGAGGCGGAGGGGGGGCGCACCACCATCATCACGCAGGGGGGGGCGGGGTGGGGGGACTGGCGGGGGTTCTAGCAGGGGGAGACTCGTCCTTGCTTTCCAAAGCGATTCTCTCCCTTAAGAAAGTTGGCAGTGGCAGCGGTGGCGGGGGCGGCGGGGGAGGAGGAGGAGGAGGCGGGGAGGGAGCCCATAGCGATCTGCTAATGCTTCTAGAAGCTCTGAAGAAAAAGGTGGGGGACGGGGGGGTGGCAGGAGCAGCAGGGGGAGCAGGACTCCCCCCTCCTATAGTGCCTCGATCGCGAAGCGTGGGCATGAGTCGTAGTGGGTCGTTATCAGGAGCTGAATCCGATGCTGACGGTGCTGCTGGGAAAGACAGACGGTCGGCGTCTGCCCGGCACGGCTCCGGATTGGTCGGGGCAGACGACGAAACTTCCGAAGCTGCCCTGCAGGCGTTTCTCGCGGCTGCCCGGGAGGTGCTGAGGAAAGATGGGGGGGAGGGAGGGGGGGGAGGTGCGGGAGGGGAGGAACGATTGGCAAAACTTTTAGCTAAGCTCGAAGCAACGGGCGGTGGAGGAGGAGGGAGGGAGGATCGACCGGGGTTACCTAGGGGCGGCAGCACGGGGGGGGGAGGGGCGGCAGGCCGGCCGAAGCTGCCGCCCTCCCGGAGCACAAGAGACGCGTCGGATCATGAGGGGGATGACGACGGGCGGCGGATCAGAAAAGAAGTCAAGCTTCCGTCGTCTGCTTCTGTGTCTGCTGCTGACGCTGGGTCGAAACTTTTACGGCACCGGTCGGAAAATGTCGGGGCGATTTTGACCAAGGGAGGGAAGCCCGGGCAGCCCGGAAAATCTATGGAGGAGATTTTTGCGTCGCTGGAGAAGGGGAAGGAGAGGCCGGGCAGCAGCAGCACGAATCGAAGAGGGGAGCGGGAGAAAGAAAAGGATCCGAGGGAAAGGGAGAGAGACAGGGACAAGGATAGAGACAGGGATAGGGACAGAGACAGGGACAGGGACAGGGACAGAGACAGGGATAGGGATCGGGATAGGGATCGGGACAGGGGAGGCAGGGGCGACAGGGACAGGGATCGAGAGAGGGACAGGGATAGGGATAGAGATAGGGATTATGACAGGTATAGGGACAGAGATAGGGACAGGGACAGGGACAGGGATAGGGATAGATATAGGGATAGAGACCGGGACAGGGATAGAGATAGGGATAGGTACAAAGACAGGGATCTTGACTGGGATAAAGACAGGGACAGGGACAGAGACAGAGACCGGGACAGGGGTCGGGATCGGGATGGTGTGAGGGACAAGGATAGAGATAGAGAGAGGCTTCGGAGGGAGAGGGACAAACTCGGGAGCACTACAGGGGCGAAGAAAGAGGGCGGCGGGCTGGTACGGCATCGTTCGGCAGATATCGGCAAGCTGGTGTCGGTTGGGAAGGATGATGATAGGCCTGACTTCCTCAAGAGTCCGACGGCCAGATCGAGATCGCGGGGAATCCAACGGTCACCGTCGCCTCCCGCGGGGGGGAGAGATAAAGACCGGGATAGGGATAGGGACAGGGACAGAGATAGAGATAGGGACAGGTTTCGGGACAGGGACAGGGAGAGAGACAGAGACAGGGGAGGGAGGGGAGATAGGGACAGGGATCGTGACAGAGACTGGGATAGGGACAGGGATAGGGACCGGGATAGAGACAGGGATTGGGACAGGGAGAGGGACAGGGATAGAGATAGGGATAGGGATGGTAGGCGATCATCTGTGCGCCGATCCCCTTCTCCTGAAAGCGTTCGAGGGGAGAAGGATAGGGGGAGGGGGGACAGAGACAGGGACAGGGACAGGGACAGGGACAGAGATAGGGACAGAGACAGGGGGGATAGAGACAGGGATAGGGATAGGGAGAGGGAGAGGGAGAGGGATGGGAAAGAGAAGGACGGGGAGGACACGAGGAAGAAAGGAGAGGAGGAGGAGCCGGTTCGGCCAAAGCGAACGTTGCGGCGCGGGCTTTCGTCTGCTAGTGTGTCTTTCGACCCGGAGGTTGATGGTGGGGAGAAAGGAGGAGGAGAGGCGGGGGAGAAGGAGCGGGAGCGAGTCGGGAGGGAGAGCCGAGAGAGCCGCAGCGGAAGCAGCGCCAAGGGAAGGGACTTGGAGCGCTCTCCCTCACCTCCTCCCGCTTCCTCTGCTGCTGCTCCCGGTGCCGCCAGCGACGAATCACATGACGAGAAGGAGGGTGCTGGTGAGGATGGTGGTGCGGGAGCAAAGGGGGGAGCAGCGGGGGCGAGGGGCATGTCTCGGGTATCGGATAAGGCTAAGAGTGCCAAGGAGCGGTTGGAGGGGAACAGCTTGTTTCGGCACAAGTCGACCAACGTTTCTGCTCTTGTTCCGGTCCGGGACGGCCGCGACGGGCGAGATGGGAGAGACGGGAGGGACGGGAGGGAGGGGAGAGAGGGGAGAGATGGGTCGGCAAGAGGTGGTGGGGGAGCAAGGCCTGTTTCTCCTCTATTGGATGAATCTTCTCGCTCCCGTCCGTCTAATCGGGGAGGAATAGGAGCTCCGCCGTCCCCGACAGCCAGTGTGAGCAGCCGAGCGGGCGGCGGCGGCCGGCGTGTTTCGGCTACTAATGGCCTGGTCCGGCGGAAATCGGCAGATGTGGGGAAGCTGTTGGAGGATTTGGGCGGCGACGGGGGGAAGGATGCCGGGCGGGACGGGGCGGAGAGCACGAGCAGCGGCGGGCGGAAATCGGCTGCTTCTGGCGGCTCGTCTGCTTCTCGGAGGCGGCCGAGTCGGGATTTTGATGACCTGGCGCGGACGGGCGGAGTTGTATTTTCTGTGTCGGCGGGCGGCGGACTGAGTCCCCTTAAGGCGCCTAAAATGGTGGCGCCTTGGAAAAGAGATGAGAACGGGGAGGAGGAGGGAGACGGAGGAGCGAGGGAGATGGGTCGGGCAGATAGGGATAGGAGTGGAGGGAGGAGTGGGGGGAGGGTGAGTGGCCCGAGCAGTGGTGGGAGAAGAGGAGGGAGGGGATGGGATGATGATTCGGATAGAGAGAGTGACAGGGATAGGGATAGAGACAAGGGCAGGGACAGGGACAGGTATGGTGAGCGTGATTATAGGGAGAGGGACAGGGATGGAGGAGAGCGAGATAGGGAGAGGAACAAAGATTGGGAGAGGGAGAGGGAGAGGGAGAGGGACAGGGAGAGGGACAGGGATAGGGATAGGGAGCGGGAGGGGTTGCCGAGAAACGCATCTCGGTCGTCCGCTGCTGGTGGTGGTGCCCGATCCAAGGGCTCTGGTGGGCTTGCGAGATTCAAATCTGCTGACGTGTCGGCGATGCTCAAGTGATGTTCAAGTGATGTCCAAGATTGGTTGGTGAAAGGTGATTGATGAAATGCCGATGCTTGGTGGGCTCTGAAGATTTTACATTTGCTGATGTGTCTCTGATGCTCGAGGAATGATACGGTGTGGTGACTACAGAAAGGCGATTGGTCAGCTTGCGATGCGAGGATCAAATCTTGTGATGTGTTGACATGACATGTGAGAGAAAGTGCTGCTGCTCACTGGGATGCATGTTTCCATGTGCTTATCCCTTAGACTGATCTCTTGGCGATGTTTGTCTAACATTGTAATTCCGCTCACTCCAGTGGATTTTAGTGCCTGTCAACTAACATTCTCTCCTGGTGCTAAAACTTTCATGCCCTTATGATGCCTTTTCTAATACTTGACTTGATCAGAGAAGTCACATAAGCTCAGATGATATAAGGCTACAATACACTTTTTTTATGCAGAATACACTATGAAATGCATCATACATCGGCAGTCGTAACTGTGCTACAATACACACTATCCCACATATGTACAACATTACACACGATTTGACATGGTTCGGTTTTGACACAGAACCGCCCGAGCTGAGTTTTTTCCGCACTTTTTAGTGTTTTTCCACGTCTATCTCCTCTCTATCACCCAGTCGCTTGAAACAAGAATGTGGGAATCTCAGGGTACATTCCTGAGAGCAGGTGTCACAAACGTTAGTAAAGCCTTCATTCCCTTCCCATCGTCATAACCGTTACTATTGCGTGGCTGTCGTTGCATCTCGGCCGTTGCTCTTCCCGCCTTTTCTCAAAGCAGCTCGCATCGCCTTCGCCCGCGCAACCTTCTCCTCTGCCAAAGCCTTCAGTTCCTCCACCTTCGCTTTAGCGACCTCCACTGCTGTCACACTCTTCCGATATTCCTCCTCTAGGCGTGCTGCTGCGGTTTTTAAATCCTCGATATAAGTCTCCTCAGATTCAATGTCCACCACGGAAACTTCCACATCGAATTCTTCCTGCGAAAACGCTTCCCACGCATCCTCCGCGTTCTCCGCGGCTTCTTCCGCCACCGTTTCCGCCTCCTCCGCTGCGCGCACCGCTTCTGCGCGCTCAAATTTCGTCCTCTCGAGCGCTAGCTGCGCCCCCGCCGTGCGGGCGGCTTCCGCCAACCGCGCTGCTTCCCCGACTGCGGCGGAAGCTTCATCCGCCACCTTCCGCTTGCCTGCCGCTAATGCTCCAGCTTTTTCCGCGACCTCTGACGCGCGCTTCAGGTCCGCGGAGCGTTTTCGCGCCCGCTCCGCTAGTTCCGCGACGTCCGTGGTCATGAGGGCGCGATTGAGCGCCATTTCGTCCGCCTGGCTGCGCACTTTAGAAGCTTCCGCGCTTATTCCCTCCGCGTCCATCCTTTTTCCTTCGAGAACCTTCTTCGCATCTTCGTAATCCGCTAGAGCTTTAGCGGCTTCTGCGTCAGCAGCGGCGGCTTCACGAACCGCGGATACTGACGACTTATTCTCGTGATTTTCGACAACAGTAACAATTTCTCGTGTAGACGCGCCATGATTCCCGCGAGAATTGGCGAATTGTTGTGGAGCCGCAATGTCCCGTGAACCTGTAGTGTGGTCGGGAGAAATTAAGAGGCCGACACAGACGCATACCGTAAACAAGGTATTTCCTACGTGAGAGCGTAGATGATTGCGATTGGTCATGGTGATTGAGCGGGATAGCTTCTACTACGGAAGTAGAATGTCGTCGTCAGAAGAGATCGACGACATGAACTAATATAAGCTTATCCGAGGATGTGAGGAGGTGAAAGTGGGTAGAAATTGGCGAGGCGACTCAGATGGCGTTCAGGCGAGTGAAGGGGGACATCTAGGACAGGCAGGAACATGTCTTGTCTGTTTGCCTGTGTAATCTCCTGAAAATCGGTTCCTGTCTATGGTGGTGCGCGCATTGACAATCACTGCTGAGCCTATTTCCCCTGTCAATACTCACCGAAACGGTTGTTTCGAGACTCGTTCAGCACGATTGTCAAGTGTGCACTTGTGTGCCTCCCCAGAAATCATTAGAATCATTCGGAGAAGGTGTTTCAAGGCTGTGACACCAGGCGAGTTCGGACATCCATTGTGCCAGAAACGTAAATTGTGAGTGTAGGTATTGGAAAATGGCGAAGGCAGCATAATTTGTAACGCTAAGAACGAACATATCTGCTGGACGCCCCCCACCAACAACGCGAGGGGCAGTGCTGACGTGGAAAAACAATTACAACGTTCCAAACCACCCCAGTCCTCTAAGATGCATGTTGCTTGAAGAAGAGCCATCCTTACTCGCATCGCAACATCTGCAGCTGATTAAACACCTGTAACAGTGCAGGTGCTAGTTGACTGAGCTATCAGGTACAAAGTAACATGTGAAAGACGGATCCTCGACTGACAGCACGTGTCACAGAGCGGCTGGTAATCAAACATGGCTAGTAATCTCGCCAAATGAACTTCGCCTCCAACAGCGAGCGGTTCGACGAAGCCATCGCTTCGGTACGACTAGCTTCGCATGTCACAAACATCGAATTGTAAGGAAATTCCCTTTTCCTTACTTCGCGTCCCTGCTCAACGCGTACGTCACTGTAGCACCTCAGTCAGCACCGTTACCACTCACGACCATCGCATCATTCATTATCCCGCCCTCTTCGCACATCGCATCCCGACCTCACGGCTCGGCTGGTAACCCGCGCTCCGGGCCTACGCTTCGACACTTTCCCAACCTCAGCCCCAGGCTCGTCGCGCGACAACCACAGTCCATTACCGTTACCACTATTGTTTCGCTATATAATCCTTCGCTCATGCCTTCGCTCATTTTGTACTCTTTGCTTCGATAGTGCAATTCTCGTTCGTTCACTCAATTGCACTCGTAACACTTGGTAATCAGAGCCTACGATCTCATCTCGGACCGCATCCACACCTTCGCTTCCCACTATCTCAATTTTTGGGGGGGGTAGACGTCTCTCAGCGACACAGCACCGCCGCTCGTAGTGCTCTCTCGCAAGCACGCACGGCCACGACCGAGGCTCTCGCTGAGCTTGCCCGACACCCCCGCCATGGCCGACCTCAATCTCGCCACGTTGACGCAGGAGCAACTCGATCGTCTCGTGCGACAATTGGAGGATTCGGCGCTTGAAATCGCGACGCTCACGGCGGAACGTGACTCCGCTCGTCAACAGTCAACGGTGAATGCTCCGACAACATCCCATGCACCAACCAATGTCTCTGTACATTCGGAGGAGCCGATTATCATTTCATCCGGCACACCAACGCAAAACAACAGCACGGGACAGCGCTCAGGCGCAGCCAGTGACGGCGCAGCCCAACCGAAGCCCGGCATGGGAGGGAACAGGAGCACGCTAAGCCCACGGGAGCCCCGAGAAGCCCGTCGGGACGTGGAGTTTGCGACGACAAGTGGTGAAAACGCCATGATGGCCCCAATGTCAGAATATTATCTTATTGTTCTAGCCTGTAGTGGGGTGCTCTATAGCGAGTACAACCCTTCTAGGGTTTGCTATTTGTATCCTCATTCTTGCTAGTTCAATCCTCTTTCTTTCTTCAAACTTTGACACCCAATGCCACTCAAGCCGCAACGCCCGCCCTGCTTCGACCCAAGCCAACGCGGCGGCCCGACAGTTCAATCATGGGTCTTCACGATGAATGTGTTTTTCGACGCCAACTACGTCGAGTCGGACGCCGCCAAGATTCGGTATGCGGTTTCACTACTCAGGGGCCCCGCCATGGACTGGTGGCGAGTCATCGTGACGTCGCCACGCGCCTACGAGCCACCGTCGCACGAGGAAGGGCCCTCGGGTCCAGCTGTCACCTGGAGTTCGTTCTGCGAAACAGCCCAATACAGCACGTGGGATGCGTGGTGCGCAGGGCTTCGGGCGCGTTTTGAGCCGATCGCGGCTTCGATTTCGGCGCGTCAGAAACTGCGCACTTGGCGCCAGCTCGGGTCGGTTCAAGACTACACCAGCGGTTTTCTCGCACTTTGCGAACAGGTCGGCTACATGCACGAGGCGGAGCGGGTGGACCGTTACGTCGGAGGGCTGAAGCCGGACAAATCGCACGAGATAATGCTACGCGGGCTATCGAATTTCAACGAAATCCTCGCGCTCGCCGAGAAAATCGATATCCTACGCCGACCGAGACCGGGGTCCTATTTCGGACATCGTCCTCGGGGACCGATCGAGCACGCCACTGTACATGCCGTCGCAACGAATGCAGCTGCCACGCCATTTAGAGGGCGCTGCTTTGCTTGCAACCGGCCGGGCCATCGCAAGAGCGAATGTCCAGAGGAGCTGAGGCGTCGAGGAGCAGAGCAGGGGAAGGAGTCTCGGAGGCAGGGAAACGCCAGCAGTCAGTAGAAGTTGGGCCAACTACTGACGAGACTGCCTGCTCGCCCAACCACACCGACCCTCACCGAGTCACAGTACCGATTCACGCCATCGATCGGGCTCGGATGAATAAGGAGGGTACAGCGACGGATTGCCCGGTACTGATCTACGGGAAAATACAGGGAGCAGCAGTGAAAATCTTCATTGACGGAGGGGCAAGTCACAGCTTAGTTAATACTGCAACCGCACGGAGATTACAGTTAATACTTAACCGATGTTTACCTGAGATAGATGCACGCTTAGTCGACGGCACGCCATTGGCCATACGAGAAAAAGTGGAGCGAGTAAAAGTCCGCTGCGGGGGAAACTTCGGGTTTACACAGGAAATGCTCGCAACGACGCTGGATGGGCACGACATTTTACTGGGACGTGATTGGCTGCGACGGTACAACCCACGGATCGACTGGACGACGGGGAGCTGCACAGTGCGAAGTAGCGGTAACTGGGTCGTCCTACCTCGCTGGCGGCCACCCGAATCTTCGACAGTCCAGGTCAACGCCATCACAATGAAACGGGCTGTCGCTGCTGGAGCCGACGTGTACGCAGTGGATATCGCAGTGGTAGAAAAAGACGAGCAGCAGAATGATTTAAAGAAACTGCTAGCAGCCGTACCGACCGAATTACAGACACTACTGAAACGGTTCCCGGGGATATTTCCGGATGATTTACCACAGGGACTGCCACCTCAGCGAGCGCACGACCACAGGATCGAGCTAGAACCGGGGGCACAGCCAACAGTACAGCGGCAATTTCGACTGACACAGCCCGAGCTCGACGAGTTAAGGAAGCAGTTAGATTACCTGTTAGAGAAGCAGTTTATTCGACCAAGCTCGTCACCGTTCGCCGCACCCATACTGTTCACACCGAAAAAAGACGGAGGTTTTCGCATGTGCATCGACTACCGAGCGCTTAACCGAGTAACAGTCAAATCGCGATACCCCATCCCCCGCGCCGACGAACTGATTGACCAACTGCGAACAGCACGTGTCTTTTCGAAAATAGATTTACGGGGAGGTTACCATCAGATTCGGGTCGAACCATCGGACTGCGCAAAAACAGCATTTAGGACTAGGTACGGGTCATTCGAGTATACAGTAATGCCTTTCGGGTTGACGAACGCGCCTGCGACTTTTCAGATGACCATGAACGAGGCGTTTAGACCACTTTTAGATAAATGCGTGATCGTTTACCTCGACGATATCCTCGTTTACAGTCGGGATAAGCAGCAACACTTAGCAGATCTTGAAGCAGTTTTTAAGGTTTTAGAGGAACATCGGCTGCTCACCAAGGGCTCCAAGTGCGAGTTTTTTAAGGATAGGCTAGAGTTTTTAGGTCACGTCATTTCCGAGGCTGGGGTTGAAATCGACCCAAAGAAGCTGGATACGGTAAAAGCGTGGCGCCCCCCGACAAACATCACGGAACTGCAGAGTTTTTTAGGGTTTGTTAATTACGTTCGACGGTTCGTGCCCGACATGGCACGTTTAACAGCCCCACTAACTGATTTACTGCGTAAGGGAGTCGCTTTTACGTGGGGGGAGAAAGAGCATGCTGCCTTCTCTGCCCTAAAAAACGTCCTCTGTTCACCACCCGTTCTACGTATCGCTGATCCCCACCGCCCTTTCGAAGTGGTTACCGACGCAAGTGACATCGCCATCGGAGCTGTACTGTTACAGGACTTCGGCAACGGCCTCCAACCCATCGCCTACGAATCACGCAAACTACATCCGCCTGAGCGAAATTACCCGATACACGACCGCGAAATGCTCGCGATCGTGCATGCATTCAAAGTTTGGCGCTGCTACTTGACTGGCGCACCCGAGACAGTACGAACAGACCACCGATCTCTACAGTACCTCCGCGCACAGCCCCACCTCAACCCACGACAGATTCGATGGCTCGATTTCCTCGAGTCGAATTTTCACTATACGGTCACATACAAAAAAGGAGCATCGAATATCGCCGACGCACTGACCCGCCCCACTGCCCAGATCCACGCGATACTACTCGCCCAGACCAGCCCACTGCTTACCGGCCTATTTACCCACGGATATCAAACAGACTCGTTCTTTACAGGAGGCAACTCACAGCAATTCGCAGCGGCAAAAGGAGTCTATTACGTAAAAACTGGAACCGACCGCATCTGGGTACCGGGATACACGCTACTGCGGGAACTACTGTTACAGGAAGCACACGACGGAGTTACCTCGGGACATTTCGGGGTAGAAAAAAACACGGCAGCAGCTGCAGCGGTACTACTACTGGCCAGAAATG